CCTCAGGGCTCTGTTCTTGGTCCCCTCCTCTTCTCCTTGTACACAAACTCGCTCGGATCAGTCATTAACCCGCATGGTTTTTCATACCACTACTACGCTGACGACACCCAATTAATTCTGTCCTTTCCCCGCTCAGAGACCCAGGTCGTCGCACGCATCTCTGCTTGCCTAGCAGACATCTCTCGGTGGATGTCTGCTCATCACCTCAAGCTCAACCTTGACAAGACTGAACTGCTTTTCAACATCGGCACCTCTGTTGTTTCCCCGACTCAGACTGCAAGGAATCTGGGTGTGGTCCTAGATAACAAACTGTCCTTCACTGCAAACATCGCTGCTACAACCCGCTGCTGCAGATACACGCTTTACAACATCAGGAGGATACGCCCCCAGCTGACCCAGAAATCAGCGCAGATTCTGGTCCAGGCTCTCGTCATCTCACGCCTAGACTACTGCAACTCACTCCTGGCTGGTCTACCTGCATGTGCCATCCGACCTCTGCAGCTCATCCAGAATGCAGCGGCTCGTCTGGTCTTCAACCTTCCAAAATTCTCCCACACCACACCGCTCCTCCGCTCCCTTCACTGGCTTCCAGTAACTGCTAGAATCCACTTCAAGACACTGGTACTTGCGTACCATGCTGCGAATGGATCTGGCCCTTCCATCATCCAGGACATGGTTAAACCGTACACACCAGCACGTGCACTCCGCTCTGCATCAGCCAAACACCTCGCTGCACCCGCACTGCGAGGGGGACCCAAGTTCCCGTCAGCAAAAACACGTGGGTTTGCTATCCTGGCTCCAAAATGGTGGAATGAGCTCCCCATTGAAATCAGGACAGCAGAAAGCTTACACATCTTCCGGCGACGACTGAAAACTCATCTCTTTAGACTCCACTTCGAGCGATTGAATTACTAACAAAGCACTTATATACTAATAAAGGGCTGGCTTTTCTAATGCCAGTTGAGTAGCACTTGAAATGTTTGGCTCTATGAAACCTGATGTACTTATATGATTCTGTTTTCTTCAAGGTTGTATCTTCCTGGTCGAATGCACTTATTGTAAGTCACTTTGGATAAAAGCGTCAGCTAAATGCAATGTAATGTAATGTAATGTTTACAGAGATGCTGTATGAGAAACCAATGTGAGTTTGGAAAATTGCACAATATAAATCTATTCTAGTAGACCTCAACAATGGAATTATGGTCAGTGGAAATGGCCATGACATGGGACAAGCAGGAAATAAAAAGGTACTCACCTTGTGGTAAACCTGAGAGAGAAAAAGCATTTGAGCTCCATACTGTTTCAGAGATAATGCTTGATGTGGTTTGGAACATGATATGGGGCAAAACACTTCAGAGACATGTTTTGTATAGATATGGCCCTATAATATATCGTTAAAATATAGCATAATAGTTGAGCTTTTAGTAGAACTACAGAAGAACTATCAGCAAAATGTATTTAAGTATCAAAAAGTGCTCATTAACCGCAGTGACAGTATTATCATGTTATATCAAATCAAATCAAGTTTTATTTATAAAGCACATTTTTTAAACGATTTTAGGTCGAGCCAAAGTACTGTACATACAATAAAAACACTTTAGAATAAAAACACTTTACAACAAATACAACAGCACAAATAAAAAAATCACACACAGGGAAATGTCAGGAGTCTCCGGTCAGACTAGAAGGCCAGAGAGAAGAAGTGAGTTTTCACTAGTATATAATATATTATTCAGTTTTTGTTGTCGAAGTACGGTAATGTATCACATATCAGCACAACATGTTTCGATACAGTATTTAAATACTCTATTGTGCTTTTGGGGGTTCTGCCTTTCCTGTACTGTGTTATATAGTTTTGTGTGCATTTAAATAGTCTGCAAAGGCTAACATCCCTGTGTTCCCTCCAGAGGGAGTTTCTCTCCCATAAAACTGATAGGCTAACGGCGGGACATCTATAAGCGGTTGACCAATCACAACCAATCCGAGCAGACTGGGCTCTGGTTTCAGACAGAGGGTGAAAAGAGGTGCTGCAGCACAGGTAGTATGAGAAAAATAAAGAGCTTTTTGAACATTAAAGCAAGTGAACATGTCACAGTAGAGACACTACATACTGATATGAAACTGAACATTTGACTAATAGGGCCCCTTCAAGTAAAATCTGAAATACTAAAGTCTTAAAGTACTCTATTACAAGTAAAAGTCCTGAATTCAAAATGTTACTTAAGAAGAGGTATATATGAAAAGTAAAAATACTCATTATACTGTGGTTCTTTTCAAAGTATTATCATGCTAAATAATATTATATTATTCAGGTTTTATCGCTTAAAATACATGTTCGTCAATGTTAAGCCAATTTTTTAATTTTGTAAAGATTAAAGCAGGACCACATGTCACAGTAGAGGCTCAAAATACAAATGAACATGACAGGGCCCTCTTAAAAAGTATAGTAACTATAAGTGTAAAACGAATGAATGAGCAAATGAAATAAAAAAAGTACAATATGAAAACATAGTTCCTAAAGTACTCAGGTAAATGTACTTAGTTGCATTCCACTACTAGAACTGTAATTATTACAATGTGAAATTAGCTAAATGTGAGTATATCATAGTGATAATGCTGATACCTTTCTATATATTTGTGCTAAACGTATGACAGGACTCTATATTCCCTTCAGCCCTGCTGCCGGAACACAATCCATTCCAGCCTCCATACAGCGTGTCTTATCTGCTCTCTCATCACTTAACCGTGCGTTGCACTTTTTAATGCATTTTCTGGGATTTAAAACAATTAATTAAGTTGGTGTGCAGCCCGTGACGCCAGCTGAACGGGACGCGCTTCCTGGCGCAGCTCCTCAGACGTGCTTGTGTTACATGACGCCTCTCTTCAGCACCCCCGCCCACCACCACCACCCCTCCCTCTCTCCCTCTCTCCCTCTCTCTCTCTCTTTCTCCCCCGGCTTACTAAAGGTGACCGTGCAGCCGCTCACTGCTGCTCATTATTTAACGTCTTCGAAGTGAGCGGCAGCGGGGAGACGCGCATGCGGCAGATCAGCTGTGCGTGCTGCAGGACGCTGAGCGCGGGGAGAATGCATGTGCCGCCTCATGCACCAACCTCAACTCCTCAAGTGAACTACCTATAAGCTGGGTTTTTTTCTTCTTTTTTTCATCTTGGCTACATTTTCTCACCTTGCCAATGACGCTCGGATGTGGATAAACCGCCGCGCATGCGTCGCTCTTGGAATCTTGCAGCCTAAGTTGCGTCCCTGAGGTGTTTGTGTGAAAGTGTTTGGCAGGATGTGGACCGCTGTGGCGCGCGGGGGCTTGGGCTGGGGGGTCTGCTGCTGCTTGTCGCTGCTGGTGACAGTAGTGATCGGGGCGCAGAGGTGAGATCTGATCCAAAAAATATAATGCCTTTTTATTTCATCAGATCAAAAATTAAAATCTGCTTTCTGTCCTCAGTGCAAACGAGCCCAGCAACATGTCCTACGTGAAAGCCACCGTGGACAAGCTGCTGAAGGGCTATGACATCCGTCTGCGGCCTGATTTTGGAGGTAAGAGACCCCCCCTACCCCCCTCCCCAGTGTGTGCGCCCCCATGCAGACATGAGATGCTGCAGAGTGCTCACTCCTCTGCTCTCTCCAACAGGCGCTCCTGTGGATGTGGGCATGAGCATTGACATCGCCAGCATCGACATGGTGTCTGAAGTCAACATGGTAAGTTTGCTGCTGCCACATCCTCTGCAGTGAGGCACAGTTTCTATCAGAGAGGGGGGGGGAGACCGGCTCGGCTCGGCTCGGCTCGGCTCGGCTCTGAGCTTGGTGCAGCGCCGCTCCTGGAGGAAACTAAAAAAGAAAAGAGCCCCCTCCTCTCCCTCCCTCCTTTTTTTCCAGCACCATGGAGAGAGCCGCAATGTGTCAAAGCCAATCCGTCTGCATCAAGTAGTACAGAGAGAGAGAGAGAGAGAGAGAGAGAGAGAGAGAGAGAGACAGAGACACACAGAGAGAGAGAGACAGNGGGGGGGGGGGGCAATGTGCTTTGGCAATACTGTGTTTTTGATATGGTAATGCCAATAAAGCTTCTATATGAATTAGGAGAAAAAGAGAGAAATTGTTGATTTTGATTTGGTTGATCATATCCATCCGTTCAGCGCTTTTCCTAGATTTGAAATGGCATAATATTATTAATATAAGAGTTTTACCGCCTTGAATGTGGTTTGGCAATGCTGTGTTTTCGATATGCCTATAAAGCTTATTTGAATTGGAGAGACAGAGAGGAGCTGTTCAGGGATTCCATCTGAAGCGGTGTGAGCCCGGTGTCAGAGCGGTAGTGTGGTGCTGGTGGTGTGTGTGGGGGTGGGGGGCAGACAGAATAAGACGTCTGTGTGCATGCTTTGGCTGTTTTTGGGCCTTAGTGCAGTTATTACATAACGGCTCTCAGTGAGTCAACGGGAGGAAGAAGCCATTCGCCTGCAGAATATGATTTGACCACTTAATGCAATGCAGCGCTGCCAAGGTGAATACACAGCATCTGTGTGTTGTAGCAGTGAGACAGAGTGTCTGTAGGAGGGAACCACATACTGATCATGTACAATTCAACTGCTGTTGCTAAGCAAACCGTCATATCTCTGTTTGTTGTTTTTATTTCCTGTTTAAGTGTTTATATAACTAAAGAAAGGCTAAGGGAGGTGTGTGGTGCAGTGGGTTGTGTGTTGGTGTTGGGATCAGCTGGTCACAGGTTCAAACCCCACTGCAGTCAGCATGTCGTTGTGTCTCTGAGACACTTCACCCCAAGTTGCTCTTGTGGGGATTGTCCACAGTATTGAGTATGTAAGTAGCTTTGGATAAAAGCGTCTAACAAGTAACATGTAATGTAATTCATTTCCCTCAATCATCTGGCCACTAAAAAAACACCAATGCTCATGTTTTTCTTTACTTGCTATATTTAGTGCATACATGCATCCCAATGCAATGAATGACAAAAATGCTCTTTAAATACCTGAATAGTGCACTCGTAATGGTCAAAGAGCTGAGTGTGAAACGATTGACACCTTTACATTTAAGGACTGCCATCTTGGCTACGTAAGTGGCGCAAGCAGCCACGATTGAAGTTGGACTGACAAACAAAGCACTATACAAATAAAAGTTATAGAGATGTTTTAGTTCAGTTTTTATTAAATAGACCAAAATACTGTTGTTGAAAAAATAATCCACTGTTAATTTTATTGGTTTCATTGAGCAGTCTGTAATGATTTGCTTCTGCAAACGCTGAGGTTGCTAGCTAGCTAACAGCGTCAATCGTCACTTCCATTGAGGGCACAGCAGCAGTGTTCAATTTGAGACAACACTAAACCGTTGAAATGCACACAAAGAGAAAGTGTTCACAGTGTAATGCATGGCAATGTACTAAGTTGAACTAAGTATCCAAATTGAGACAAAGCACAATTGTTGTGTAGCATAGTTTTAAACACTTCTCAAAAGTGTCCTCCTTGATTTTATCTACATCTGTTTGACCAATCCGGATTAACGGTTCTACCCATTAAAAGTATCTGGAACTAAGATTTAGTCCGGAGCAGTGCCCGAACAATTCCAAAAACTAAAAGTGTGACCAAGCTAGGTTAGCCGTAGCATCACTATGTGAGGAATCTTAGTCTATAAATCTTCTTTCTCTTTGTCTCAGAAGCAAGCAGAGATCTGTATTTTGAGATGCTTAGTGTTGGTTCCCTTTTTGGGTTAATAATGTTTAGTCCTTGTGAGTGTAGGTGAAGAATATCCTATTGGAATCATTTTGAAGCTTGACTAGCTTAATTGGACTGTGTTATCCAGCTCTGTTTATTGGTTACTGATTGGACCATGGGGCCTTATCTGATTATGCATCTCAATGAAATCTGGGACAGGGGAGGGGGGCGTGTTACTGCTCCTTTTAATAGAAACTCTTGGCACAAGATGCCACTTGAGCAGGAGCCAAGTTAAACTAAAAGCCTGAATGATCTTATGACATACAGAAAGTATTGATGTGTTTACACTTCCAGCAGAGAGAGAGGGGCGTTAGCATTCATTTGGAGTTGTGTTTATTAAATTACAAATGATAAATGAAGTTAATGCTGATTTGCCTTCTGCTTGATTCATTTGGAGACAGATGAAGGCCCGTGGGCAGGAATTCTCAAAATTCCATTAAAAAATTGTACAGTTTACAACACATTTTTAATTATGTATGCCTTCTTGTCATTTCGGCATGACACAATGATTTGGTTAAGGCTATGAAAATTGAGGTTAAACACCTCAAATCCTATAACATATATGGCTTCCTCTCCTGCGTTGTGGTCCGTTTTTCAAATATAAATACATATATATCATCTTTGCTTTCTGAGTATGATGCATTTTTATGCATGGTCCTTATAAAGACACAATATTTAAAAAAGATGACTAAATTGCAGTTTTACTCCTCAGAGAACACAGACGTAACTTTTGGCGTACCACAGGGCTCTATTTAAGGCCTTCAAGTCCTTTTCTCCTCTCAGTACTTCCACTTGGCAATGTTGTCAGAAAGAATAAAATTGGTTTCTGAGTGGATGAAACCCAATTCATCTTCCCAATATGTTTTTGGTTTTCCCATTGAGAGGTTAGTTCAATGACATATGACATAATATATATAGCACATAGCATGAGCTGAAAAATCTATTATCTTCCTTGGCATTGGCCTTAGACATAGTAAGAGTCAACAGATGCTAGACAGTGGCCCTTATAAATGTAATTTTAGTTATCTGTGACTGTGATGGCAGAGTGAGCTTTTGTGATGTCCTCAAGGCGGCCTGCAGAGAGGGAGGACTAAACTTATCTTGGCCCAACTAAAAATGTCATTGGATGCCAAAAGTAAATGTGTTGCTACAGCTGGCCACACTGAACACTGGCAGGAAGTGAGGTCATAGTCATTTCTGCTTTTTGACTGACACATAGACACAAGGGCGAAATAGATGAGCAGTTGCTTTGATTGAAGATTTTAAGTTTAAGATTTGTTTGGGGGCTACCAGTGCCTTAATCATAGAAAGATGTGAAAGGGGGATACAGAGGGGAAGAGATTAGTAAATGGTCCCCAGATCGAATTTAACCCGGGTCCACCGCAGAAGGTACTGATCCACAGTATAGGATTTTAAGTTTTTTAGCACTTTAGGCTAATGTATGACGATTTTAATGTTTTTTCGGTCCATTTCAGAAAATAAACAGGCGTATAACTCACCATAGGAAGGACATCAAAAAACTAACTAAAACAGGATTATATACTCACATAGATAACAACAGTGTAAAATGTATTAAAGCCCAAATGTCCAAAATGGTTAATCAGGGATAATAGCAGCAGGGGAGAGTGGCAAGTCCCTAGACTGTGAGCCTTCTGGGGACCACTGGGTCTACTCCACCAGTGGCCAGCATTAAAAGTAGCTCGTTACTCCCCCAATGATGAAGGAAACATTTCAAAGGATGCTGACCGGCCTTGATTAGATAGTCAGGAGCTCTTCCTTGAGCTGAGCCTCAAAAAATGGTTACCCCTCCAGGACTAATGCTGTCTTCTTGCCAAAGAACATCCCCCTCTTAAGCACAATATAATCTTTATTTTCCTGAAGACACAGCCCCTGTCATCCTGAATTAACATCTGGACCAACTGCCCCCTCTCTCAACCTCTATTAAAACAATTAAAGCATACAGTATGTGGAGTAAGATGACATAACCCGTCACGAGTCTGAGTGCACCAAAACGATTATTAAGCTCCTTCTGAACTTAAAAAAAAACAGTATTTATATCGGGCCCACTCCCCATTATTGATGGCAGAGCTGCTCTTCTCTATTGATACTTTTAAAATATTTTGGGATTGACTCCAACATTCCAAATCACAGTAGGCTACCAGGCCACCATACTGTTCTACCCACCGGTCCCTTCTGTCAATTAAACCCCTATCAGATTCTACTAATGTATCTGTTTCTACTAATAGGCTAAACCTCCCTGACTCAAGGAGATATTAGTTAGTATCACTGAAACCTCTATGTTCTGTAGTAAAGCTAAAAATACAAATGGCGTAGTTAGTCATGACAAATTACTGTCATATTGCATTAAATACTGTGCACGGTAGCATAAGCCACAGAAATTGTGAATGGCATTGAAAGTTAGGAATGTAACCAAAGTATATTTTTTATCATTTAGAAATATTGCTATCGCTACACAGTTTATCTTCCAGGCCGATACAGAAAAACCAAGTCATTCTTCAAAACCTGTGGGCTTTGCTATTGTAATGCTCTTGTTTGGTTTACCTTGAGAAGCTATTGGTCGTCTACATATTACTCAGCGCTGTTTGCCCCTCAATCATGTGTGGCACATAGGGATACTTCCTCTGTCTAAAATGTGTTACATAAATAAAGATTGATGGATTGAAAATACAAAGCAGACAGATAATATGAGACAATATATTTGTGATGGGCCACAGGCCTGAATGGGTTTCCCCAGCCCAGCCGTAACAATGGTTCATAATGCAGGTTGTCACATTGATAAGCCCTGTGATGGACGGGCCAGTTGTCAAGGGTAACCCGCCTCTCGCCCAATGTCAGCTGCAATCGGATTGAACAAAATAACAGTTAAAGACCCAGGATGCAAGCCAAAGTTACCAGCCATGTCCACAGCTACCAAATCTGTGTGTCTGCATTTGTGAAAATGTGTATAACAGGAGGCACGTGCGATGCATGTGTTCATCTGTTTTCCGAGCA